TGTCTTTTTTAAAGACAAAAATTTTTGAGGCGAAATACCCAAAAAGAAGTTTGTAAAAAATGAATCCGCCTCAACAATATAGAACTTATCTATAAGTAATAAAGTTGCACAAGATGCTGCTGAAATTGAACCAGGAGAATCTCCAATTGAACCCATAAAATGTTTAATAATATTAAGGCCTCTGATTTAATGAAATACATAAAAGGACGAGAGCGAAGAAAAAGTCAAAAAATGGTTCGATTTGGGTTCCCGTTTCAATATGAGCAAGCTTACCCCAATCGAGAACGTTTAAACATTTAAACTGATGCTGGATATTGCTGTTGTAAATTCGTGTCCATTGGGGATTTATGGACGCAAATTCGATAATGCACGAATAAAAAAATGTCGATTATTTAACACCTGACGTATTAGCGATTATTAAATGTTAATTAATCGGGGAATTTGAACGTCACTGTGCAAAATGCGTTAAAACACGAGGTCGAAGTTAATTGGACAATAAATAGATCAGCAGTTTGGGCAGCATGTGGAAAGTGGGATTTTTCTAGCAGCAAATCAAACGCGGAATTAACGAATGGTAAATTTAGCAATTCGTACTTTGGGTGGAACTTCTTTGTTGTTTCAATCGGGCTAGATGGGATCAGTGGTTCTGATGTCTTTGAACTGAACTATTGGGTTTCCAGTTTCCAAGCACATTATTTTGATTGTTTTTCATTATTAATGTCTTCCCAGGATTAAAGCAATAATTTCTTTGAAAAACTAACAAAAATCATTTTGTATTTGCTTTTTATGTGAAAATATACCGCAACCGTTCAGATTTTTTACTTGCTAGAGCAACAGGGTAAAGAAACTTAAAAGGCACATGGCCATTCCATAAGCTAAATCTACTCGGTTTGGTAGTAAAAATTTTCTTTAAATAATTGAAAAATTGCCAACCAAGAACAAGAAAAGAGCAGAATAACTTTGGGAACCGTTTAAGATGACAATAAAGCATTTTTTTTGTTTGCAAATTCTATAAAAATTGTGACAAACACCGAACCGATATCGAAGCAGTTTTCCGCCACTGCAAAAACGCTAATTTTTCATAGGCATTTGGTGTAAAAACGTTCAACTCTTAAGTAAGAAGCCCATATAAAAATCATCAAGTTACACTTAGGAAAGCACACACTTAGATATAACGACAATCCAACGAAACGAACTGTTGATTTACTTTTGCGAAAAATTCTTCCAAAATATTGTCGTTTGTGGCCAACAAATAATCAGATTAAATGAAATGTATTTTTGGTCGAATCAAAATCACTTCGTTCCCAGGACAAAATTAAGGAAAATCTAATGCGAAGCGATGAGAAGAAACTGTTGATTCCCGATCGTGGAAAATCTTTAGATCCACAAAAATTGGCAAGGGGGAACAAAACAAATCTATTTATAATTGAAAAATTATTAACTCAAAGTATAACAGAAAAAACCAATTCAGTTTAATGAAAATCTAGTGATGTTGAGCAAGGAATTACTTCTAGATGGGGAAAAGTACAGTTGAATTTGAAATAAACAAAGCCTTGATATTGAAGAAGAATTTCCTTGTGCTTACGAGAAGAAAAAATGTCCAAAACTGCTTCGTTTCAAAGAGGAAATCGAAAAAGGTTAACGAAAATCGAACGCTCTGAACTGAAGAAAAACTCTTTTTGATAGTCATCATCTGAAAAATAGAAGAAATTGAACTGTTGAGATATTGCAGGAAATGACAAAAGCGGGTAGTGATCTATTCTTAGTTTAAAAATTATTGATTAAAAAAATCTAGCCGAAGAAAAGGTCAACAAAAAGAAAAATCGACTGTGGAAAAAGGCAATAAAAACCCATTTCAATTGCTGGCGTTGTGATTTTGCGATGTGGAAAGAAATGTCGTGTAAATGGGGAAAATACAGTTGAATATGAAAAACGTTCAAATTGTTTGCAAAAAAGCCAATTAAGAAAGCATAAATACGGAGGAAGAAAATAAACGCACTATTGGATTCAGCAGCTCAAAACACATGAAAAAATATATAATTTAAAACGAAATTGAATAAGTAGGCAAATTTTTTGTTTTTTCAATCATTTTTCGAGTTGATTCGATTTGAGGTTGATCCAGTTTCGATAACGAAACGCAATAACCGCGAAAGCCTAATTCTTTTGCTAGTGGATTGAGCATTTAGGAGTTTTGTTGAGATTACAAATTACAACACTTCCCTATATGAAAACCAAATTGCGCCCGTTAAGCAAAATAGAGCTTAGAAACTAGTTTCTGCGCGAATCTCATATAACTTTCCCAAATATATCAACTTTAATAGACGGTTATGAAATTGGGGGGTTCTTGACTGCCTGGAAAAGATGACAACGATCCATAAGATCCAATGCTTCATTTTTTTTTGTTTTCAAAGTATTGACGTGTGAAAACATTAGGGGCCTCGTTCTTTCAGTTTGCGCCATTGACTTTGCGAGATATTTAAATTCCTTTCACCTGAAGAACTTTCAAGATTGGACGTTTTTTCGATGGGGGTAATGTAATGGAAAGGGCACAGAGCTTTGACTGTATTTATTATAGATTAAAGCTGAGTGAAAACTAGCGCATTTATGCGGCAAGCAAATTGGCGTTGTTGGTTGGGTCCGGAAACTTTGCTTTATCCCATTGATTTTAATTCCTATTAACGAGCAATCCAGATGCAATTAATGGAATAGAGCAATTTTAATTGACATTGCGTATTTAAGAGATCATCCACTAATTGCAATTACACAGCGGATTAGTATCGGTTATATATAAAAATTAATTTCGAGCTGAATAACAACGGATTTAATTACTTGTACCTGACGATAACATAATAAAAGTTCGTCGATTATGCTGCGAAATGGAAAAATTGGTTTGAATCCAGGGCACGCAAACTCACTCGATATATCAACCAATAACTAACCAGATTTTAAATCGCTATACAATTCTATCTGGAATGCAATTCGGCTTTTTCCTTTTCAAATAAAGGTAATTGTTGTTGGATATTTGATTGCTTTGGACGATATGATCGATATAACCGTTATTAACTGAATAACATATAAATTTGAAATGTTGCCGTGTGTTTATTCATTTTCCACCAGCAAATCACTCCATTCCATTACCAAATACGTTTAAAAAATCACTGGTTTTTCTCGATTTTTTCAGTCCCATTTGTTCTTCGTAATGGAGTACTTAAATGGTGGAGACCTGATGTTCCACATTCAAAACGAACGACGATTTTCCGAAGCCAGAGCCAGATTTTACGGTGCAGAAATCGTCTCCGGGTTGAAGTTCTTGCACAACAAAGGCATTGTTTACAGGTAAGTGCACTTAATATCAATCTACAAGGTGTTCCCGGAGAACTTCAGATGAAAATTAGTGGGTTTCAACTGCAATTTATTCAGGCCCTGGCTGCCTAAGGGGAGTCTTCCAAACTCTCTTCAAGCCCATTTTCTCCCTAATAATTCACCCCGATTAAGCCAACTGTCAGCACTCATTACAATGGTTCTCGGGTGGTTTATTTAAGAAATTCTCAAACTTATAAAGTTATTTTTGGCGTGCGAACTAGCGACATCCCTCATCCCGAAACCTCATTAAATCATTATTGTCGATTTGCCGAAGTTGCAAGAACTTCTTGTTGACAAATGTCGGAAAGGCGACGAAACTTTGCCGAGTGACGACAATAATCGAATCAGCTCTATTAATTTGATATTTGTGCCAACTGTGTCGAACTGACGTGATAAAGATGTTTATCAGTAGTCCGCAGGATTGCGTGAAAAGAATCAAGACGTCTCTTCTATATTTAAGGCGATAAAAACATATTTTTAAAATAAGAAATGCTTTAGAGGCAACTGCAAATCCTCAGATGAGTGAAACTGGTGATTTATATTGTCTGTTCTGTAAGCGGGTTTGAGAGTGGTTTGAGTCGTTAAATTTTCTAAAAATGACCCTCGTTTAAAAAATTTTTCGGGCGAAAAAGGGCTAAAACATCGGCATTTTTTAGAAAATGTAAGGAGCTTCAATTCAGTTTCAAACCTGCTGAATGGCACTGATGAGGCGTGAATGAGCTGAACAAGAAAATCTCAAACATTGAGGCGAACAGATCAATAGATCAACAAAATGAGAGTAAAATGTTAAAAACTGACGACTGTTTGTTATTGGGCAAACACCATCTTTCTTCCCTTCCTTCATCATTACTAAACTATATTTCTTTTGCCAGTATTTATTTCTTCTAGCCACTTCTGATAGCTAACTATTTACGTTCTTTGGCGCCTGTTTGTTTGCGTTTTTGTAACTGTAATAATTTTTCCAACTCGATCTAGAGTTGGTGAAGATGTCGCGAAGATGTTGTGAATGTTGTTTGGCGACATAAGAAATGAAGACTGCAGTTCTAGAGAAAATATTCTGAGCAAAAACACCTCAGATTCGCCTAATTAAAACCTTAAATAAATGAATTTGTGTATATCAATGTGAAGAAGTGTGAAGTGAAGTGGCAAAAGTAGCGCTAAACAATAAACTAGCTGATGAATGGAAAATGAGCTAAAGAATAATAAACAAAAATAAAGGCTTGATCGATAAAAGAAACGTAAGGAAATGATCGAACACTGACCATTAACAGGGACAAAACCACACAGCCACTTGGTGAAAATCCAGCCCTTTCGTGTTCAATTTCAAGTTTGTTTTACCATTTAATTATTAACTTCGCCATTTTTTGCCTGCTAATGCTTCAGTTCCTGTTTTCACTTCGTGCAAACTTCATATTTTCTCTATTTCTTCTCCAAATTCCTTTATCAAATTCCATTTGTTCCACGTTATTTTTCAGCGTTCGTTTGTTTCTTCTCCAACTTTATCTGTAAATGGCTGAAGTGCGTAATAAAGTTGGCGTGGTGGATCAGAACAAGCGCTGTTTTTGGGCGCAGAAAATGTTTTGAGTAAGTTTTGTTCTCAAAAGCGTCTCTGAGCCGAAGAAGCCCCATTGTAGTAGAAAATTGTAATGTTTTTAATCAATAAAGTGAAGATGTTGAGAAGGCTTATTGGGGGCACAAGTGATATCACATTTCAATAATTCTAGCATTCATCAGTGCAATCAAAGCCTGAAGTAAAAAAATTCCAATGTTCCAGCGTGGTTATTGATATGATACACAAATTAATGTACAGGAAAAGTGACTGCAAATAACAACCAAATGACAAATTTAAAGGAACAAAGTAACATTCATTTTGTTTGTGTTGCCAATGATTAAATTGTGAAAAGGATTCAACCGCTTATAGCAGCATCGAGCCAGATTTTTGAGAAAATCGCTGAAATGTTTGCCTCTTAACAGCAAATATCGGACAAACACTGTCAATGGCAATGCCGCATTCTAAACAGCAGCAATCAATGCCAAACAAAAGACCAATTTCGCTTTAATCCTAAACTAAGAATGAAAATTCAGATGAATCATCAGTTCAACCCGACTGTTAATCCATCAATATAATTGCTTGTTTAACAGTTGTTGGGAAAGGTTGTGCAGTCGCGTCCAAAAGTAATTTAAATCGGCGTAAAATCCCAGAAAAATCCTAATTAATGATGGGAAAAGGTTCCAAGTAAATTTGGCCGACAAAAACCAGGCTGGGAGCTATTTTCATTTCAGAACGGAATTGCATAAAATGCCTGTTCACATTCCGTTTTTAATTCAGCTTTTCCAGCGTGCTACTAAAAAATGGATTTCTTATTCGGTGGCATAAAGGAGCGCACTTGCTTCTCAGCGGTGCTTTTCTTGAAAAAGTTCCAATTTACGCAATTCGAAGCCGGTGCCAAACTGTTCAGCTAAAATGTATCAGATTATCAAACATCAATTTGTGCAATAGTCCTAATTGGCCGTGGATCCGGCCAAAGTGCGGTTTACATTTATATTTATTATCGGCAAACATGTTGCAAAATTAATGCGCGTAATTAGGAAAGAGGCTGCATGCGTTGAGGCGAAATTGTCAACGAAATTATGTTAAATTTCAGAGCGGTTTCCGAATAGTATGTTATAACACATGTGCGTTTTCGGGTTTCCTATATTGTTCCGGAAGGTTTTTTGATACTTGATAATGCCACCTGGAAAGCGGCTTAACTTCCGCAATCTTAATCGCGATATTCCGACCTCGTCAAGAACCTCAGAATTCATTTTATTCGAACGACGTGTCATAAACTACCCGACATCAAGGCAGAAGCTATCTACTTTAGTAAATTTCCATCTCGTAAGTGACTTGCATAAGTTTGCAGAGTCTGGTAATGAGTTTGCACCACTGCTCTTAGTGGAATTAGTTGACAAATTTGTAGTTCCAATCTAACCGGCTCAGTTTTCCATGCCGAATCAATGCTGTTGAGCTCTTAATGTGTATTGTTAAAATACGTAACTGAATTTTTGAAGATATTTTATTGATTTGGTTCCTGATGTCAAGTTTCTGTTGTTGATTGCTGATTGTCTTCTTCGGCTCAACCGTGTTTCCAATGTTATCCATTGGAAAACTAGCTTTGTCCCAGACTCGATTTCTTTTTAAACAAATAACGAGTTTTTAAAATTATACACAATATTTTTAAGCAGGCAAGGAGTAGAAGAAATAACAAGCACAAGAAAGTAAATTGAACTGTAGAAACTTTAGAAACTTTGAGACGAAATAGAAATTCAGATTAAGGAGGAAAATAACTGAAATCATCGCAAATATTTCAAAACTTCTGCGTTGTTTTCAATGCACTGCTAACACCTTTTTCGAACGCATTTTAAGGAATTCATGACGTGAAAGGGTTTTATTTCTGCAAAGGCCTCATTAATTCTTTGATCAAGTTGATCTCTCGAGTGTCTGTGAGTCGAAAATAAAATTGATAACAAAATAAATTTGCCAACATTCTCCAAAGAAATGTGATCAAGGTGATCGTGGTGGTCATCGTGGTATTATCATGTGTTGTTATCCAACGGTTTCTAAAGTGAGGATTCAATTACTTTCTTATTCGAAGATATTTTTTTTGTTGGAAGTGAATTCTGGAAACTCCCAGAAATTTCCTATTAAAGTTTTCCTTATTTAAAGCCGCAGATTTTCTCTTCCGAGTGATATTCCGGGCAAGTTTGGGGGATTTTTGGTTTTTCCAACGGCCAATCGCTTCCCCCCCAGTAACTGAAAATATCCTGGAAACTCATAAGTTCTTAATCAAGTGAGTTTCTCCTCATTTAAAGCATCCGTTTTTCTCTTACTTAATTCGGGTGATTTTTCTTCGGTTTCAACCGGTAGCAAATAGGGATCAACTTTTGGTTTAATTCGAACTCATTCGGCTTTGAATGCAGTTTAGAAACACAGTTTGATGATGGCATTCTTGATTTAATCGCACAAAACTAGATTTTTTCGGCAACATTGAAATGTTGGTGGACTTGCGTACCTTTTGAAGAATGCTTATCCAAATTCCATGACCAGGAGCAATTTGCAGAAAATTCAAATAATTGCAATTTTTAATTTCAGGGATTTGAAGTTGGACAATATTTTGCTGGACTTTGATGGGCACGTGCGGATTGCGGACTTTGGTATGTGCAAATTGCAGATTTTCCTGGACCGGATGGCCGACACTTTCTGCGGAACACCCGACTATATGGCTCCGGAGGTGAGTTCTTTAGCGCGCATTTCAGGTGTTGATCGGTTTACTTGGGCATTATTAAATTGATAATAGACGGCTTTGCCTACTTCTTGTCGCAGTCGTTTCAATTCAGGAAACGATGCCGCTGCTGAATACTGGCGACGAATTCCTTATTCCCAATATTAAACGTTCAGTCGCTATGCGGAATCAATCGATGAGCTGAGCTATATGTATTGGAATTTACCGCAGCAGGTTTCATATATATTCGACTCTCTTCGACAACATTTCCGTCTTATGATAATAGAGGAATTGGGGACTTTTACGAAGCAAAAGCGCAAGTGACAAAAATCCAAATCTCGATTTCATATTGCGGGTTTATCGAGCGACATACATTCAATTTTCAAGCCTCCAGCCTCATATACCCTTTACCTAGTCCGAGTATAATTGTTATAATTTTAAAAGCTTTGATTTATTTGAACTCCTGATTGCAAAAGGCACCAAACGCAGTGAACGTTGTAAAGCAAAAGTCAATTGTCCAACGAAACTAGTGGACAACATTTCTATACTTTTGTCATTCTATTTGCCCGAGAAATTACTCGGCAAGACGTAACGAGAGAAATCGCTGAAACTTTAAGCTTGATTCAATCTAAATTTCATCTGTTGTGCCAATGACTGGAAAATTTATCGGCGAAAATTCGCGCTAAACGTTTAGACTCGCTTTGGAAAACTGCTATATGGAAAGTCATTTATTTGCATTCGGACGGCGTGCCAAACTTTTCCTATGAATAAAGAAGTGAAAGTTTCATGTGGTTTTCTTCCGAACAACCCTGAAAGGTTTAAATGAGTTAGCAACTGTTAAATCAAGGCAACATTTAAATAAGAGAATTATGAAAGATGGTTGGAAGAATTTCAGTGATTCAGTCAGTGATGAGCACAAAATCTGGACTCGAAATTGTTAAATCTGATAAGAACTAGAACATCATAGTTACATCTTTTAATAATAGAAAAGTTCTATATTGTTGAGGCGGATTCATTTTTTACAAACTTCTTTTTGGGTATTTCGCCTCAAAAATTTTTGTCTATTGAAAAAGAGAATTTCCTCACGTCTTTTAGTACAGATTGATAAATAGTGCTCCTATTTCGCAATAAGAACGAATTATTTATCAAAAAGTAATCAAGAACTATC